ACACGCACCTGGCGTGAGTTTTGAGCCACTGGGTCCGGGACGCGAACCGTGGTCTACTACATGGGAGTCCAGCGACATAGCCATTACGCTAACTGCTGACCCCACCATTTCTGGCATTTCTAAGAGATATTAGTGAATAGTTTCAGATAGCTGCAAAAAGTACTGGTGGATGCCAGTTGTCTCCCTGTGAAAAAGGTATGTGAGTTCAGCTGTGATTGCAAAGGTATTACAAGCATACACCGATCATTTACTCTGCATATAATACCTTTGCCCCAAACAATCCTCTGCATCCTTTATAAAGTAAAAGAATTAGGCTGTCATTCTAATTGCTAGTCTCTAAGCTATAAAGGCTTTCTTTCCTGTTTGAGAATTGTCAACCATATGTAAAGACATGTAGTATACATGTAGGACACATATCGAGGGATGCAGAACACATGTAAAGATGTAGGACACACATAAAGTTTTGTTATAATTTTATTTCTCCCTTACAAGCAGTTGTGTTTTTTGAATGAAAAGGGGCCTAATCATTATTTCATCTAAATCCTGAAAGTCGTTTGCAGAAATATGATAACTATGGCATAGAGAACAGGAAGTGGGAGAAGTGTTACCATGTGCAGTAGTAGTGATTCACACATTTTGCACAAAGTAGGAACAACATCAGCTAAAGCAGACTGTGAGGAGTTAAGGGTGCACATTATATCCCTATTGAGGTCACTTATCACAACAGGCCCAGCCTCCACGGCACGGTCAGTAGTGTACTGGACGGAATGAAGTTCTGGAAGCCACATGGCCAACCACAGGTTTAGATTCCTGGGTGGTCTAGAAATATGCTGGGCATGAGCATGGGCACCTGAAATATCGAGGAGCTAGCGAGCTGGGGAAAGGTCACCGTGGCATGACGATAGCGTTATTAGTGATTTCCTCTCTTTCACACATACATGAATGTGCACTCTCATTAAAACAAAATGGAGCAGGCGAAATTATCAGAGTGGCTAAGGAAGAAGCATGATAAATCCTTTCTCCAAAATAGCAATGATCAAATCATACAAAGTTATCAAAAAACAACCATTCTGCCACTCTCTAAATTGATCAAAGTCATATAGCCAAGAGTGAATTCATTCATTCCAGGAAAACTATAGAGTTTCAGAAAGATCAGTGTTTTAGCTTGGAGCTGTTCTCATTTACTTTCTCCAGCTCCATGATGTGATAATGGTACCAGGGCAGAGACGGTCATGAGAGGTAGCGTCCAGAGAGGACTGATTTCATTTGTTGCAGAGCTTGAAAAGAACCTATGCCCAGGGACACAAATAATAGGCCTCTCAGTGGCAAATAATCAGGGAAGTCCAGCACCGGAGCTAGCCTGCGGTTGCAACACTGATTGGGGCAAACAACACACCAGCAGGCCAGTCAAAAATTTATCAGTGTGGTCTGGGGATGAAGAAAGCCATAGTAAGCTCTGATAAGCTCTTTTAAGTCTGTGGAGGTCTGGAAGACCACAGACGTGCCTGCTCGCACACATTGCTTAGCAAAGACCAGAGATGGTATTAGCTAGTGCTATAGCTGGCTGCACGCAAGATTCTGTGACACAGGCGGTAAAAGCAGGGGTAGGCTCATAAACTCACTCTCTACTGCATGTGATTTTTCAGCCCAACCACAGATGCATCAGTGAGGGGTAGATGCTTTATTAGATCTAGGAGTTTAAGCACAGCTTCTGACCAGTCACTGGCTAACCACTAAGGTATGCCAAGCCCAGGGTGATATCCAGGAAATAAGGCTTAAAGTGACAACAACAAAAACAACAATAATAAAAAAAAAATTGAGCAGAAACATTAGCAGCTGTATGTAATTCTGAGCCAGACCTCAGAATTAGTCTAGGCAAGTCACCAAACAAATGAGCAAAATAGCAACAGTTGAGGGAGATCAGAATCCAAAGGTGTCACAATATATTCTCTACAATGTTCAGTTTTCGACAACAAGAAAACGAGACATGCAAAGAAACCGTAAGTCTGACCCAGACACAGAAGTGGGGGAGCAGTCAATAGAGCGCATGTTGGATTCAGCAAAGATGAAATATGTTCAAAGAACTCAAGAGAACGGCGTTCAATGAGTGAAAGGGAAGGGTGACAGCAACATCTCATCAGACAGAGGAGAGTGATGGGGACAGAAATTATGGAAAGAATGAAGTGGAAATTCTGGAGTTGAAAAAGTACGATAACTGAAATGAAAAATTCTTTAGAGGAACTCGATAGCAGATTTGAGAGGCAGAAGAAGAATCAATTAACTTGAAGACATATCAACAAATTATTCAATCTGAGGAAGAGAAGGAAAAGAATGACCAAAAAATGAACAGCACTTCAGAGACCTAAACGACACTACGTTTATAACAGCATACAGAATGAGATGAAAGAAAAGTGCAGGAAAAAAAAAATGGAAAGAAATGATGTCCAAAATTTCCCAATTTGATAAAAAGTTTAATCCGCACATTTAAGCAATTCAACAAATTTCAAATAGGATGACCCCCAATAATTGGGGACACAAGGTTGGTTTTAACACTGGGAGGGACTAGCAGGTGGCATGGTGGCTAAGGTGCTGGACACTCCCACATGGCTGACCACTGTTCAAGTCCTGGATCTGCGGCTTGCTTTCTCACTTTCTCTCTCTCTCTGGCAGCTTGCTTCCTCACTTCCCCTTTTGCTCTGTCTCTCCCTGTTCAAATAAAAAATAATAACAAATGGAATTAAATAAATAAATAAATAAATATTTTAAAAAGAACAAACAAAAAAAATTGAAATATCATGTCACAAAATATACCATGTAATAGAATACAGCACTAAAACCACATGATCACCTCCACAGACCCAGATAGAACACTGGACAAAACCCAACTGCCATTCATGATCAAAACAGATTCTCAGCAAACGAGGAATAGAAGGGAACTTCTACCACTTAATAAAGGACCATGTATGAAAAATGTACAGCCAACATCTTACTCAATAATGAAAGGCTGGATTTCTCCTCCACTAAGATTGGGAGGAAGGCAAGGATGTCAGTTCTCACCATTCCTATCCGACCTTGTTCTAGAAGGTATAGCCAGTTCTATCAGGGAAGAAAACCAAAAAAAAGACAAAATAACACTGCCTTTATTTACGGACTCCTGATCCTGTATGTAGAAAACATTAGAATGCATAAATACATACACACACTGTCACACACAACAATTAGAACCAACAAATAAGTCAGCAAGGTTGCAGGATACCAGCTTAACACACAAAAATCAGTTGTGTTAATATTTCTATACACTAACAATGAACAAACCAAATACAAATTAGAAAAACAAAGTAGCAGCAGTTCCAAAACTACAGTGTGATATATATTTTGCAAAAAATATACATACTTGTAATCACAGGGAAAAAATGGGAAATAAATGATAGATACTTGCAGTGGCCAATTTAATATTTTTCTTTATCAATGAAACTTTCAGCAGTGAACGTGTAGCTTTATCAGGCAACAGATGGTAAATGTCACTTTAAACTCTTCAAAAACCTCTAATTGAAAGGATTTCACATTACTTAGATGGGGTGGTGGTTGAAACACAGCTTTAGCGTCATCAACCAGGGTTTGAATGTCTCGGTCACTTTCTAGTACGAGACCTTGGAAAAAGAGCTTGGCCTATCGGTCTCCACCTTCCCTGCTATAACACGGCATGTATCTGAAGTATGTTGTGAAGACTGACGGACTGCACATTTCGTCAGAGGCATACATCTCAGTACTCAATAAATGGGCTTTATTGCCATTGCTCTTGCTCTATGTAGGGAGACTTTGGGAAACAGATACTTTCCCCAGGGCTGTCATTTCCTTGCTCTGGCCCACTTCTCCCAGTCTTCAGAGGCGGGAACACATGGTCAGCAGGTCTGGGTAGAGTTGGAGATCACCAGGGCAACTCTGCATCACTAGCTTGGCTCTGGGTGGAGCCATTCCACTGCTGGAGGACACCACCTCAGGTCCCTGCTCCAGTCCACAGGCAGGATGCACCGTAGAGGTGGGCTGCAGTGCAGCCATGACCCTCAAGGGGAGCAGAAGCTAGGATGATCCCACAGGGTGGTTTCTGTATTTGCCATTTGACATGAAATGTTTATAAGATCACGCACGAGAAGGCTAGACGTGGAAGCAAAAAACATACTGGGGTGTGTGTGTGTGTGTGGGGTCAAGAACTGATACTGTGTAAGTGTCTTAATTTAGCACTCTGTAGTCATCACCTCCCTGTGGCTGCTTGCCTGAGTCACCAACTGAAGTCCAAGACTTTTCAGAGGTCAGAGGTCAGGAAATGACATGTTAGTTAAATTGAACGATTTAGTTAAATTTCTTTAATCATTTCTAACCCTTCTAGCATCATCACCCAGAGCCTGCCAGTAGACCTGCATAGTGCTGCAAGCCATCACATTTCAACAGCAATAAGGGCATTCACCCCAAGTACTAACATCACACGGGCACAATCATATCTGAAAACAGTGAAGTTAGGTACATTGTATCTTACTATGGGTTGTGCTTCCCTTCTGTGAAATAAAACGATCCTCATAACTTGTAAAACAGTGAGATGTCGATGTCGATGGAACATTTTAAATACAAATATTACATGCAAAAGAAACAGACTTCTGACTTGAGGTTTAATAGCAAAATAAATATATCAGACTATAAAACCAATGTTCTGATGTGTAGATAAGCTCTGAGATTAATGTGGTAAGGGGATGGATTCATTTCTATTATATTTGCTTAGCCTGTATCCAAATAGTTTGATCCCCATCAGCTGAAAAAAGTGAAAAAGAATGCAAATATATTTCTATCTCATGAATTGGCTGTTTTTTAGTTAAATAGCTTTTTAGTAGACTAAAGAAAGTCACCATTTATTTTAGCATAATAGAAACATTTTTGCATTAAGAGTACATTTTTTGAAAAGGAATCCGTTGCGAGGGGAGGAGGAACAGGAGTAACATGCTACTTACGAGAAGGTAGATTCCACACAGTGACCGTAGTTCGGGTTCCCAGCCTGGTCAGCCTGAAATAAGCTGGGTACAAAGATGAATGTCCAGGATCTGACGGTCTGGAAGGCTGGAGGAAAGGGATCATAGTGTGAGCAAACCCTGTGGAGGCAGCTCCTCTCTCTTTCTCAAGTGCACATGCTCTATCACGAATAAAGAAAAATTAAGAAAATTAAAAAGTAATCAGCTGTTCATGGGATTTAAGTAAGAAGCTTTAGTATGTATGTCCCTCTTTACATAAAAGTTTGTAACCAGCCCTCTAAAGTTGATAAGGAACATTTAAAATTATACACTTTATTTTTAAAGATTCCTTCAACTAGGGACCAGCAGTTAGCGTAATGGCTATGTCGCTGGACGCCCACGTAGTCGACTGTGGTTCAAGTCCCAGACCCCATGGCTTAAACTCATGCCGGGCACGTGTGCGTGTGTGTCCAAGATCCTGAGAGGAAAATGAAGAAGGAGGGATTGTGGCGTGGCCATCCCCCTGGGGGGTGGCTTCTCGCTTTCTGTCTCTCTCTCTCTCTTTCTGGTGAGCTCACGCGCCCTATAGCAAAAAAACCTCTCCAAAGGAAAAAAAAAATCCTCCAACTAGCTTTTCTTTTTTTTTTTTTTTTCCAAGAAAGAATAGTATTCTTGAAATGATATTGTTTGGGATCTAAATAATTGTTCAAATTTACATGTTGTACAAATTAAAATGTCAAAGATGTTCAAGTTACCATATGGACGCTCTTGTTTACCCACCACTGGTAAGATTTGGCCTCTCTGAGTTAAATTTCTTTAATCATTTTAACTTTGAGCCCCTCTCAAACTTTTGAGGGGCTAATAAACCAGAGTGTCAGTGAACTTATTTACAAGTGGGATCTCCTTCCCTTGGGATCATGTATCTCCATTCCCCTAGAGTATCCTGTTTCCCTGTACTGGGTCACTGGGAAACTCAATTGCCAATCAAAAGGTTATTTGATTCTGAATCAGAATTACAGTGAACATTTGATGGTCTTAAAAGATTTGTCCTTAGGGTAAAAGTCCAAAGAACAAACTCTTCTCCAGGACAGAGTAGGTCTCTAAGTGATAGGATAGGAACTGTTGACACTGAAAACTGCTGCGTGGACCTTAACCGATGCATATACTGTCCGGTTTTCCTACTTCAGATTACAAGCAGTCACTTTAAATCTCTTCTGAAAGAAGGCCGATAATAAAATTAGTCAGAGAACTGAATTATAATGTATTCCGCCATACTTTCATGCAGTTTGGTTCCAGTGTGATTGTTTTGCAGCCTTCTTCAGAAGCTTTCTGTCAGGGGATGACCTTGCTTGGACTTGGCCAGGCCTCAGGTTTCCATCGACACGTGGACTGACTGACGCGGGACACCTTCCGACTCTGCAAGCCATTACAGGTTGATTCTAATCAGTCTCACCCTCTCATTTTATGCAATGCCAATATACCGGAGTAATACATTCTCCGCTTAAAGTTTTTGAGCTCCCTTTATAAATTTCACTATTCTATTTTAGGTATAGTTTTAAGGTCCTTTTAATTTTCTATCCCATTTGCAAAACCCGTTAAATCTATTAAATTCATTCACATACATAACATTATTTGTCTCATTTACCTTGTGGGTATATATGTGTAATTCTCATTTTTTCCACTTTACTTTGAAAAACCAAATCACACCAACAGAAAGGTAAGATACTAAATTTTCGGGAAATCATGCTGTATTTTTGTTTTTCTACGCAAGAATGCGTCACTGGACTTTCCCGACAACCCAATGGTGCCGCTTGTCCACTCACCCTACCTAGACTTGCTTATTGATATTTGGCCACATTTCCTTTATTCCTCTTTATCGGTTTCTCTGCGCCATCTGGATATAAGTTATCGACATTATATTTCATCCTTCAAAGCTTCGGTGTGTGTCTTTTGAGAACAAGGGCATTTTCCTGTATAACCACAATGTTACTATCTCACCTAAGAAAATTAGAATTGATATGGTGTCTAATAAAAAGTTCATATTCGGGACCAGCAGTTAACGTAATGGCTATGTCACTGGACTCCCATGTAGTAGACTATGGTTCGAGTCCTGGACCCAGTGGCTTAAACTCATGTCGGGCGCTTGTGCGTGTGTGCCTAAGATCCCGAGAGGAGAATGGAGAAGGGATTGCGGTATGATCATCCCCCCCGGGGGTGATTTCTCACTTTCTGTCTCTCTGTCTGTCTCTTTCTGGTGACTGCACGTGCTCTATAGCAAAAATCTCTCAGAAAAAAAAAGTTCATATTCAAATTTACTTAAGTAGTCCCAAAAGGTATTTTAGAGGTTTTAATATTCAGGATACAATCATAGTTATTAACTGCATTTGTCATGTCTCTTTAGATTTTCTTCATCTGAAACAGTCGCCTGCCTGTGTTCGCTTTCATACTACTGATATTTTTAAATATTCAGGTCAGTTGCCTTGAATAATGTCCCATAATCTAGATTTGCGTTATTTCCTCATGATCAGATTCAGTTTCAACACTTTGGCAAGAAAATATTACAAAGAGTGTGTACTTCCAATAATATATATGGGAAAGAATATCAGATTGTCTCATTATTGGTAAAACTTACTTCTGACCACACGGTTAAGGTAGTCCCGTAGCACCCAACAGTGAAAATGCCTGCATCGACCATCACAATTGGCGGTTGCGAAATTATTCTTTCCTCACTTTTTCCTTCCACAGTTTTTAGGTGGCATTCTTCTCTAAAGAATAATTTCTTCCCTGCACCCTCCCAACTCCTTTTTCATTGAGAATCCCTGTGCACTTGGATTTTTGTTTTAGTCATGGCATTATCTCTTGTCGTATTCAAATTCTGCTAAATTTAGACAGCAGGAGCCCCTTCAAACTGGCCCAGTGAGCTTTTGACATGTCCTAAGCATTCTGAATCAATTACCAAAAGTAAAGGACTTCCTGATCAGCTTCCTGATCAAGATCTAGCCATGACGCTGGCAAAGGTACTTCGAAGCCACGCAGTCTCTTTGGGAGATGGCTAGATACTTGAACCAAATCAGGCTTCTTTTATGAAGAAAAAGGAGGGAGAGATGGTGGGTTGAAGCCAGGGTGACAACCATCGGCTCAGCAATAATCTGACATGACCTTGTACTTTAAAGGAATACAATTCAGGAAATTCATTCCAAAACACTCCTGGGCAGGGGTTATTCTTCCTGATTTTTTTGCTATAGGGCTCACTGGTATGTGGCGGGGGAGAGTGGAGGTGAGGAGAGAGAGGAAGTGAGAAATTACTCCTGAGGGGTGATGGCCACACAATCCCTTTTCCTCCATTCTCCTTTGGGGATTTTGGGCATGCGTGCAACGTGTCGGTGCATTTTCCAAGTTGCGGGGTTCAGGACTCCACGGCAAAGTCAGCCAGGCGGGACCCGGCCCCTGACCTCCACACCGCCCGGCTAGCACAGCTCAGTCGTTATTTTTCTTTCCTTTTTTCTTTTTTTTTGGAGAGGTTTTATTTAATTAATTAATTAATTAATCAATTTTTTGCTACAGGGCGCATGTGCTCACCAGAGAGACAGAGAGACAGAAAGCGAGAAATCACCCCCCAGGGGGGATGACCACACCACAATCCCTTCTCCTCCATTCTCCTCTCGGGATCTTGGGCAAGCACGCGCACACACATGCACCCAGCGTGAGTTTTAAGCCACCGGGTCTGGGACGCGAACCGCAGTCGACTATGTGGGAGTCCAGCAACATAGCTGTTATGCTAACTGCTGGTCCTGGTCAGTGGTTATTTTTCTATCTAGCAGGTTAAACTTCAGAAACTTCAATTCCACCTCGTCAGGAGTCCCTAGAGGTCAGCATTGCCTTTTTGAACAGATGGTTAACAGGTCTATTTGCAAAGAACCTACAGAACCAGGGATTAGTTCAGTACCTCCGAGCTGGCAAGTGCCTAACAGCCAGTATGTGAACTTCTAACACAAGCCAGGAGGTTGAGGATTTTCCAAATCAAACCACTTTACAATCAAGTTTATTTCTGGACAGTCTCCAGACTCGTGGATCTTATGGGTTCTCCAAAAATTTCAGTGTACAAGTGCGAGAATGTAGGCATGTTCTGGTAAGTCAAAGTCCCTGAGAATCTTTTTGACAAATGGAACCACAATTTGAGAGAAACTCTGAATTCAACCAAAGGCTAGTCTTCCAGAAAAGATGCTCTGCTCCACCAGGGCTGGGCACGGATTCCCGGTCACCGATGTGGGATACTGTCACAGGGGCCACACCGACGACATCTCAAATCTCTTAAGGGGTGTTTGCAAACTTTGCAAAATCTTGTCTATTTTTCATGGAAAGTTAATACTTAAGAGAGGAAAAGACAGAGATCCCTACCAGGGCCTTGCCACATGCCACTCCTCCCTCTCCCCCTCCAGCCAGCCAGGAAAATGGACACACCTGGTGTGTTTGGATTGAGCCAGGGTTTGCTTCATTGTCGGTGCCTGGCTGGGCAAAAAAAAAAATTTATATTTTTTTACAATTTTTTCTTAAGTAGTATTTCAATTAATAATGTACCTGTGTTGTTTCCCAGGCCTTTAGATGAGTTTTTATTTATTTATTTATTAACATCATCATCTTGTTTATATTACATTGAATCACATATAACTTTACAGTGTATTACATTTCTTTTTCCAGAGCAAATGAGCTTTTTAAGAGTAATTTTTAAATTTTAAAATTTTTTTTGCCAGAGGGCGTATTGCTTTCCAGAGACAGACAGAGACATAATCCCTCTCCTCCAGTTCTCCACCTTTTTCAGGTTTTGGATGTGCAGGTACCTGATGGATTTTCCAATCCCTGGAAAATACAAGGTCAGCCTGTGGGATCCAGCTTCCTTAACCACCAAGCATGGCAGTGACCCTGTATAAGTATAATCCCTAAAGACAGTATTAACATCTCTTTTAAAACAAATGCAGGGGGCCCGGTGGAGTGGTGGTTAAGGTGCTGGACTCCCACAAGGCCAACTACAGTTCGAGTCCCGGACTTGGCAGCTTCCTTTCTCACTTTCTCTTTCTCTCTCTGGTGAGCACACATGCATTGTAGCAAATTTTTAAAAATAAATAAAATTAAATAAATAATTTTTAAAAAACAAATGCTTCATGTGATCTAATTACACAAGATTATTACTGATGTACTCATGACAGTTTTTAAGTGTTATTTATTACCTTCATGACAGTGAGAGAGAGAGAAAAAGCACCCAGCAGGGTCTCATGTCCGTCTCCTCTAGCCTCCCCAGCCAGCCAGGTTCGTGGGTGGTGCGTGCCTACTGTGTGCAGTTGACCAGAGAACTGAACCCATGATCCTCCATGTGGATCTAGCTTTACTTGAGCAGCTCATTACCCAGCCAGCCCTCATGACAAATTAAATGATCAAAACCAAATTAAAATACAATGACACTGGGCATATGTTGGCTGCTTCCCCAGCATCCATGTTTCCCTTTCCCCTTTTCAATAGCACCAGATTTCTTTTGCAGGTTGCATATGGTTCTCAAAAAACTGACTGTACTTTTCTGGCCCCACTGGCTGGTCAGGAATGGACACACATGCAACCTTAGCCAATTCTATTAAAGGGAGTCTCAGTACTAGTCAGATAATGCAGGATACATGCTTTTTCTTCCCTGCTAGACATAAGCATTCAAGTGTCGTGGGAGCTCTGGGCCTTTACTCTTGGCTCCTGGAGCGCTGTTCATTCATTGGGTAATTCAACCAACTATGACATCTACTATGTGCCTGCTGAGAACTATATAATTGAATAAGACATGGCCACTGACATTAAGATACTTACATGCTAATGGAGGAAACAGGGAGGCATAAAGGTAGAAGAACCAATAGGTCAACATTCATGAAGACGGGCAACACATATTCTTGGGATATCCTACATGGTAGAAGTGGGCCTGGCCATTCCTTTTACAGAGTTGATTTCCTTATCAGTCTGCTCTGAACCATCCGATTATTTACAGTTTTGGTGAAATTTCTTGCAGTAACCCAATCGTAAAAGGGAAGGTTGCATAGTCTCCTCAATCATTGTTTAGTGTCTTAATCCAAAGAACAAACTTAACTTGGGACCAGCAATTAGCATAATGGCTATGTCGCTGGACTCCCACGTAGTCAACCGCGGTTCGTGTCCCAGACCTGGTGGCTTAAACTCATGCCGGGCGTGTGTGCTTGCGTGCCCAGGATCCCGAGAGGAGACTGGAGGAGAAGGGATTGCGGCGTGGCCATCCCCCCCGGGGGGTGATTTCTCACTTTTTATCTCTCTGTCTCTCTCTGTCTGGCGAGCGCACGCGCCCTATAGCAAAAATCTCTAAAAAAAAAAAAAAAAGAACAAGCTTAACTTGAAGGCAATTTTCTGGTCACATACAAATACCTAAACAGCAATACCAATAATAATGTACTATCTTTCATTGTGAAAGAGGAAAACAAAAACAAAAACAAACAAAAACCCCCAGCATACTGAGTGTGCACTAAACATCAGCTAGGGACATGAGATGGTAATATTTTGTGTCCTTCAAGGTGCTTTTACATGGGATGCATCCCCCATGAAAGCTGGAATTAAATCAGACACCCACCATTTATACAGTAACATTAGCTGGCCCATCCAATTTTATTATACAGGGAATATATAAAATTCAGAGAATCTAGAGCAGGTGTTCTCAACAGGTAGGCTGGGAGGAGGAATACCTTCCCAGGGAATCAAATTTGAATTATCAGGGTAGTTTTCTTCCAAGTAAACATACTCATATCTCATTTTGGGATTTCCATCTGGGCCTTTCCCTTAAAAGCACAATGGTAGTACATCACTCTAAATATATTCTACCTCTCACTTATGACAGGGTGTAAAAAATACTGAGGCCTAGGGCAGTGAGCTGCAGCATGGAGAGAGGACCCTGAAACAATGACTGGGAGAAAAATAGCAATGTCCTGCTAAGGGATGATGACAGAATCACAGAATCAGTGTATGTAATTGATATATATGAGGTTTGATCACTGCATGTCCCAATGTTAGCCAAAGCTAGAAGGACAACAGTCAATACTGATTACAGTTTTCAATTCTGGGATAGCCAGATGGCATGGTGGTTAAGGTGCTGGAACCCACATGGTTGAGTGCATGGTTCATGTCTGGGACACGATGGCTTGGAAAACATGCCGGGTGCATGTGAGTTCGTGCCCAAAATCCCAAGAGAAGACTGGAGGGGTGGCTTGGAAAACATGCCGGGTGCATGTGAATGTGTACCCAAAATCCCAAGAGAAGACTGGAGGTGAAAGTATTGCAGACACTGTGGCCCTACTCCTGGGGGTGATTTCACACTTTCTCCCTCTCTGGGAAGCACAGACACTCTATACCAAAAACTTAAAAAAAACAAACAAACAAACAAAAAATACTGAATTCTGATATAAAATTTATGGCTCAAGCATTGTAGAGAGTTCATACCAAAGAGCCTCCTGCTACCAAGGAAAATGTAAAGACATTTTTGTCTGGGTCACATGTAAAACTCAACTTGAAGGTTGGCCATGGGCCAGCCACAAAAGATATCCAGCTCTAGACAGGTGACGCGCTATGGACCTGTGACTAAGAAAATTAATACTGTTATTGGTTGCCCAAGGTATCTCAGCCCAAGCTTTAGAACTTTTGGAATGGGGGGGGGGGTGAGACAGGTGCAGATATCAAAGCAGTTGAGGCTGACCATAAAAGGGGCAAGTATTAGGGCCAGTAGGTGGTCTAGTGGTCGAGGCACTGGACTCCCACTACGCACGCGTTGGTCTTGAAACTAACGCTGGACCCTGTGCCCACTGGAGAGAATGGAGAAGAAAGGATTGCAGCATGGCCACCCCCCTAGGGGGTGATTTCTTGCTTTCTGTCTCTCTGTCTCTCTGGCAAGCACACATGCCCTATAGAAAACAAAAACAAAAATAAAACCTTAAGAAAAGGGATCAAGTATTATTAATAAGCCTTAATAAAAATCATCTTGTATTTTACATCCACACAGTATAAGGAAATAGAACATTCCACAAAAGGATAGCTTCCATATATGTTGCCGGCCTCAAAATTGTTGAAAATAATTCTACATCCCCCCTTCATGCTGAGACTAATCTAAGCTCCAGTTCAACAGTTTTACTGAATTAGAAACAAGCTACTTAAGGACGGAAAGGTGTGAGACACACAGTTCATCAGAAGCTTCCCACCAGATACTCAACACTTAGGGATTAATGTGATTCTCATTTTTTTGCATACTCCCTCCAGATAACTGTAGTAAGATTTCTAAATTTGGAACATGAGTTCCTTTTAAAAACCCACTTTTTAAAAAAATTAACCCTCAAAAGATCCGGCTGGGTTTTAAAAACTCACACTATATCACCAAAAAAAGCAACAGTGCATGAGACAGTTAGGTGGTCTTTAAATCTTAATAATATAACGAAACTTCTTAAAGCCTGTCAAGGTGGCAGCTTAGTCAATTCTTAAGAGTCGTAGGAAATTCAGACCAGCACAAGGCTTCAAAATGTTTCTGTTAGGCACTGAAAGGTTATTCAGCAAACCAACAATTCCCAAACGTAGACGCTTGGCGGAGGGGGGGGGGGTCGCGAGGGTGTGCAGGAGTGCGCCTA